TGCTGAACACATCTCTTGGGTTTTAACATTCAAGACTTTCTCTTCCCTCACTCAGCTCCTTCACATTACAGTGACCATCATTTGGAAGCAAGGAAAGACAATTGGCAGGTGTGAAGTATCTTTACTCCAGTGGTGTCAGTGGAGCCAGGGCAGCTCTAAGCATCCACCTGGCCACGGTCAGTCCATCCCCTGCAATCCTGACACGCAGCAAGAGCGCTGCGTGGGAGGCAGTGCCTCCTGCACGTTACCAGTGCAAGCACTCGCACGTAAGAAAGGTTTACTCACACCCACTAACAAAGTAGTATCACTGTCTATTTGCACAGCACATAAGCTGTAGCCATTTATTAGTTAAACCTTGATAAGCAAGTGGTGAAACAGCACAATTTATCCACTTTCAGAAGATGAGGAAATCAAAAGAGAAAGGCAACATGACTCCTTAAGGAAACAAGGACAATATAATCTCAGAAATTGCTGCCTGTCTCTTCCTCCCAAACTGTGCAACACACCACAGAAGTGCCTTATTCAACAAATCATCTGGTTATTAAAGGATAATTTCTGATACATTTCCCCATGTTCAATTGCTATTTTTCTCCTCAAAAAGGGTGTCAGAAAAGTGAAAGGGTCAAAGGCATCTCAAAAAATACTTTTCACACCATGCCATCTGCCTGATGTCCTGCACAATCCCCAAGTGGATAGGTTCCACACTTCAAAGGCTACCAGCCATGCACAGCCTTGCTGGTAATCTGGTCCTAAAGGCCAAACAGTGAGTGATCAGTGTCAGCAGACTGTCACTGTCAGAGGTGGCATCCCAGAGCAGGATTAGTAGAGCAGGACAGCCTTCATTCCAGTTCTTCCCTTCTAAGAAACAGATTTCTGCCAGTCAAGTCTTTCACGTACACCAGTCTGCTCAGACCACGTCAGCAAGAATACCTGGGCTCAAAGTCTACTGATATGAAAAAAATAACACCAACAAGAGAGCAGCCCAGTTGGGTTTTATTCAGTATTTCATGGAAACATCACAAATCACAATCACATTCCAGGAATTTATAACATGTTTCATTGTTTTCATATCTCTGAGCAAAATAAGACCCCTAGCTGTATGTTATGGTATCAGACCATAAAACAAGCCTCCCTTCCAGGTATTCTAAAATACCAATAATATAACTTCTTTCATTAAATTTATTTCTTTCAGAAATATATTCCAGAAAATACATTTTCAAAGAGTGCTTATGCTTTTAACACCAGACAGAGCTGGCTCAATTTTTCTAAACCCCACTTACAGGACTGCTGCATGATGGACCTGAATAACTTCAGCATAATAGGAAATAATGTCAATTGAGAAATACCTTATGAAAGAACTTGTTTGTTCATTCTTAAGGCTCCTTTCTTTCTTTCTTTCTTTCTAGCCTGCTTTCTTGCTTTCTCTGAAAGCAGCGGCTTCACTGTGAGTAACATCAAAATTTATTAAGGGTCACAGCCTATGAATCAAGACTACAGAAAAAGCAACACTCTTTTTTACATCAGCTACATTAACTACTCCAAATATTCCAGCTCAATATCTGCAGGGAAAGTGCTGTTAGTCCCTCTGGTACTCTCAAAACTGTACTTAGACCTCTACCCACACTTTTCAATATATTTTACTGGGTTTAAGACTTAGATAATTTAATTATAGTATTTTTAGTAACATTGCTGGTGGAGGAATTTGTATTTTTCCTAGCTTCTTGTCTTAATGAGAATTTCAGATAACTCCAAGACCTTGCACTCAGAGAGAGTAACATATCAAATTCCTAATAATGAAATCTAAAGCCTCTCACCCCAACAAAGCAGGTTCAAGTTCACCCAAAGCCCCTATAGACACAGTATCCAATCTGGCAAAACACTTTAGCACATGCCTAACTTCACACATGTGAGCAGGCCATTGACTTTTGTGGGACAGCTCACACATGCAAAGTTAAAAACATGCATGAGCACTAAGGTCACAGCTCAAAACTAGGCCATGTGAAATTTCCCTCTGGGGATCATTACAGGCTGTGTGCACCAAAACCATCCCCAGTATCTTCCTCAGCATTGATGGCTGCATGGTCCCACACATGGGTCAGGGGGAGAGAAAGACCATCAGAGATGGGATGAAACCGCCTCCACCTGCACCACCAGTTCTGGTATCAGTCTCTGCTCAGAAGGAGGTAAAGCAAGTACCCTCTCCAAAATCTATGGCACAGGCAGGGGGTGTGAATCTCTAATACTTTACAGATTAGGCAGGCACTTCCAAACTGCTCTGCACAAGCACAGCCCCAAGCTTCACTGCTGCTCTGCCTTCTAGAAGCAGATAGGAAAGAGGGAGGAGAGCTTTTGGCTTCTCATCCCTCTGTGAGTCAGCTTGCAGAGTGTGCTGGGCAGGAAGTGTAGAGAAATAAATTGCTTTCTTCAAGGCTGCAATAAATTACTGGTTTCCATTTGCTGGAAAGAGGATTTATACTCACTCCCTGAACTGGTGTAGAGAGATTATAAAGTATTTTCCAACACACTTCATGCTTCTTTGCTTTTGTTTCATACAAAATACTTCAAAAGTATGATGGTTGCAAAGGTTTCTGTACATTCAGTTGTATCTGTGAGAGAAACGTCTTTCTTCCTTTCAAGCTTCTTGGCTGCTTAGCAGAGCAAACGGGTAGAATTTATTTTTACAGAGCCTGATCAAGACCACTGTGTACAAAAAAGCATCTCCAGGTCTAAACATCTGGCAAAGGGCATGGCAATAGGTGCCCATTTCCATATCAAATCTCCATGTCTGCTGAGTCACTGCTGGCATCATCGTTTACAGCTGAGCAAAAAAAGGCTGTATTTTTATCAAAGAGAAAATCTGTTTCACTTGATTTCAGGAAGTTGGTTCATGTGTTTGTTTTAGTCTAACGAACCTAAGCTTGCCTCATTTCCAGCTGAGTTGTGTGAATATAAATAAAGATAGAACTAGCCACAGTGCAGTCAGATTTTTAAATCAGTGGCTGCTGTAACTGAGCCTGACTACTTAAATGCCACAAAACATTGACCCTTCCCCAGCTATTTCTGCATGCTGTACATTCAGACCCATTGAAAACAATATTCCACTCTCTATTATCTATCAAGGCTATTTTTAGCACCATAGTGAGATATGAACTGTTTTTTTCCACCGAGGGATGCTGTGACTTTTAAGCTGGTTCCAGCACTTGTACATGCCACCCATGCTCGAACAAATTCCAATGGGCTCTTGCAATACTGTTGTGGAGAGTCAAAAAACCAGCATCAGGACAGAGCGCGAAGTTCCCTGAGAAAGGGAAACCAGCATGTTGCCACTGAGCAATATGTCAGAAAATATGCTCAAAGAAAATTATTAAAAACCATTTTCTTTGGGTGAAGAGGGAGGGGAAGGTTAAATACACATAAAACTCTTCTTTCTGAAAGCTGTGAACTGAATCCATCCCCACCCAGCAATGGGAAGTGGGTGAGCCCAGCCAGTTTCACAGCTCTGCTTCCTTTCTTTGAGACTCGAAGGTGGGAAGTACAATGTGCCAAGTGCCAACGGGGTGTGGAGGTAAAGAATAGGTTGATCAGCCAGGGGAGGAAGAGAAAGGGAGAGCAGAGGATGTCTGGGGGTGGGGAGAGAAAAGGTACATTGTTCTTTCTCCAGCTTCACAGAGCCAAGTAAGAAAGAATAAAGTCTGGCACCATATAATGTTTTTTCCAGGGGAGTCTCTGCCTATGGCTCTTGGCCCAGACGTCACCAGCTCAAGAGGAAAAGAAACAAAGCTACAAAATTATGTGGTCCCTGAGGTGGCTGCAATCAAATGATAAGGAGGGGGATGCTGATAATATAGTTGCATTGAAATGGCACTTCCAGAGGTTGCACAAAGGAGAAAAAGGAAAGGCAGGGGGTGTGCTGAATAACCGCCTAATTGACCTGTGGACCTTCCTGGTGGGAAGAAGGATCCATGGACCAATATTCCTATGGAGAAATGAAGCATCCAAAGGGTTCTGAAAAGGTATGCTCATGAGGACTTCTTTTTGTAAGCCTCCTACCACATGATTATACCTTTGCTGTGTCCATTTGCTGAAAAAAAGTTATTTTGAGATTCCAGCCCTGAGCCAGATGCAGCACTAAAGAGCATCATGCAGGACGAGTAATTCTAAGAACAAGCTTCTGCACGGTCACAGAAAACATTTCACCTAGTCACTGAAAAGCTGACAAAAGGCCACTGTGAGTGTGAGCAAAATGAGTGCCTGGCGTTGTGCAATCTGCTAACACATCTCTGAGAGCTCTCCCTTTCAGGGAAAGAGTAAGGTTGACACAACGCCATTGTTTCGGAGATTGTTCATTTTCACATCCTAAAAGCCAGATCATCTCCATGGTGATACTGCCCAGGAGACAAGCATTCAACAAAATCCTTATTAATTATTTATCAGCAGCCCAACTCTATTGTTTGATAGGCTGGCAAACTATGCAGTAATCGGGAGAGTTGCTCAAAGCAGTAACGGTGCCATCTGCACCCATGTGAGCCTTTGCTGATTTAAATCTCAGCTTCTGCTCATTACTTTGTTCCATCACATGTTTGTTCATGTCATGGATGTTACCAAGGACAAAGCACTGTTATTGTTGTTGCCAGCCAGCAGCTGTACACAGAAAGGACAAAGATGCACGTGCCTCGATGCACCTCTCAGGTCCATGTGCAATACCATTTATGTGGTATTGTTTTAGAGCTGCTTCACTGTGCATGGTAACAGCATATAGCAAACATCAGCATCTCCATGTTTCATTCCCCTCTTCACAATGTACCAGACATTATATTTCTAAAAAACAAAGCTGATGTCACTACTTGTAGAGAAACTCACTCTTGTGCCAAGGCAGTAGAAGTCCCAAGTCAGTGTGATAGATGTTAAATCAAAATTCCATTTGTATAAGCTGATGCACAATGTGCCCCTGTCTCTGGGCAAATGAAGGTATGATTACCTGAGGTTTAATTTTCCTTTTCTGGTTCTGCTGGATATAACTGCTGCTATCATATCATAAATGATGATTCACCAGGTGGAGAAGAGGAATTAACTATTCACAAACACTCAGCAAGGGGATTATATATTCTCTCCAGCTCCCCCTTTATTCACAGAGAAAAATGTTTGTGGAATCAAGTTTTTATGAGCAGTAGAAGGTACCAGATGAACACATTTATACTGTACATATATAAAGTGGGTGCCAGGAGGAACATACAACACCCTTCCTTCACTTCTTCCCTCACCCCCGCATACGGTGCTTGTTATCAGGATTTGTGAGCACATTTCCTGAGTAACTACTGCCTTACTGGGAAATTTGCATCCCTCCATTGTCTGGTACTCACTACCCTCAGCTCTGTATAAAAAGCCTGGCATATTTACACCATGCATTCTCTGACAAATTTCCCTGGCAGACCTTTCTTCATTTAATGCTGAGAATCCTTGCCTCAAGCCATATATGTCAGAAATATACTAAAAAACTTCTCCCTTCCCAAAAGCTTTTTACACCATATTACTGAAGTCCTAAATCATAGCACTGTTCAGTTCTAGAAGAAAGATCCTACAAATAACCACCATCCCTAGCAATAATGATATGTTTCCCTTATTGATGCCTCAAGTTGACCCTTCTCACCCCTCCCCACTGTCCCAATAGCATGCTACCAAAAATCTGCATCCACTTCAATCCTCCCTAACCACAGTACAACAAATTTGCTGTGGTAGGAGCAGAGGTTGCAAAAGATTTGTTGAAAAGCAGAGATCTTACATGATAAGGTTATTAAAGATGTTTGCAGCTGTGTCCTGTCAGGACCGGAGCCCATGGCTGGTCTGGTATCCTGGGAGAGTCCCTATCATGTGCAGACTTCACCCTCCTGGAGAAAAGAGTGGAACTGCTTACATTTTCTCTAATACACTTCTAACTGTAACTCCATATCCTCCATATCATGCACAGATTGATGGGAAGATCATCTCCTTTCCAATGTCTAATAACTCACAAATATCCCATCCAACTACTTTCAAACTTTCAAGAAAAGCTCAATGCTTTGGCACCTAAGAAATTAGATCTGGAAAGAAACTGGGGTAGGGGATTTCCCCAAGGCAATGGAGGTTCATAACTGTAATTAAAAAAGAAAAAAATATGCTTTACAGCTTCAACTATGGATCATTCTCCTTAATAGATGTTAATCAGCACTGAATGCCACATTCACTCAAAAGATGAAAACTGCATTTACAGTTAACTTCTAGTGAAGTTGCCAAGCAGATGTTTATTTTTGGCTTCCACATTTACCAAAGCCAAATGCTACACTGAGTTGGGATTTCAAAAAGTCTAATTGCTTTTCTTCCAGGTTAGAGTTTTGTTGGAACCAAAAAGGGGGGGAAAAGGGGGGGGGGGGGCGAAGCAGAAAAACAAAAAGGCTGACTTCACTTTTAAGTAGGAAAAAAACTGGTAGCATCCATTTCTATCATGTCTGTTTATATCATAGTTTAAATGAGGTTAGAATTGTGCAATCATTATTGATCGACTTCCAAACACAGCATAGTTCCATCCAGCACATGAGCAAAAGAGGAAAAGTCACTGAAAGAGAATCCTGTGTCAGTCAGTCTTTTAACTTCTGCGAGTCTGTGTGCAGACTGTTTAGCACTAATTAAATTACTGGCAAGTCAGGATAAAGAGGAGTGAAAGAATTCACAAGCCCCAAGTTCACTGTTCTCAATGTTACATGGATATTACAGATCCACTCTCCAAAAACTGGAAGATAGATTTCACAGTAATTTTGGGGCTTGATCTCACAACTACCACAGCTGCTGATGTAATGCAAAATGCTAACCTGAGGCAGCAGAGAGGGACTTTAATTCAATGTTGTTTTTTCATTGTGAATAAGCAGTGAACCACACTGAAGTAATCCTCCAAAGTAGGAGTGCACACTGTTCAAGGCATCAATTTGGGGATGAAACACAAAACCAAGATATTGGCTAGGTCATTATAAAAAAGCCCTTTATGACTTTCTTAAGAAGACAGGTATAAAGCCCTGGTGCCTGGATCTAGTTCCAGTTTGAAAATTACACGGTCTCCTGTAATTCCTCCAATAATTTAAATTGGAAATGGGGTTATTCACACCCTCTAAGCAACTGCTGCAAACTGTTACAATGTGCTGCTAAATAATGGTAACCTTAGCAGTTACCAGAGTCTCTAAAGTGATTTTACAGGTTTAGGCAAAAGGCACTAGATCAGTGCAAGGCTGTAATTCACATTAAACAAGGAAGAAGGTTAGACATTGTTTGAACTCTTAGAACCAGTTTTTTTCCCAAGAAACCACCTTACAGCACATTTTCATTCATTGGTAGGTTCTGCTTGAGAAAGTTGTGGATTAACAAATGTAACTTGGATTATTTTCTCTTTTTCGCTGAAGCTTCTGTGAGTTCAGAGAAACCTCAGAATCACTGAGAGCTTTGCACATCTTTATAATGCCTCTTCCACCAGAAATGTGAAGTCAGCTGGTATTGTGTGGATCTTTTGATTTTGCTCTCCAGTTCTACAGTCCTTCTGAGAAAAAAGGGAAGTGCTGTTTCACCATGAGAATTACAATAGTACAAGGAAAAAAACTTGGGAAGAGTCTTTTCTAAAAGAAATGTCTGTACTTTCAACCACCACAACACTCACTAAAACCTAACACCATAATGTCTGACCACCTGAAATTCCTAATTAACAGAATGGAATTTTTAAGTGTGAAGAGATTTTTAAAGCTGAATTTATAGACTTTAGTCCTTTTGATTTACATTGATGAGCAAGGATTCATTGTGCAAAGACAGTGGGCCACAGAAATTATATGATGGAAGGTGCACAGATGTGTTTAAACAGCACAGTTGGAATGGTTAATGACATGGAACTATCAGAAGCACCTGTATCTAGTATACTTTCCTAAATTGATCTAAGATGAATCAAAATATAAACACCACTTCCTGGTGAGAATCTAGCAAACTATAAATCTGTATCCTATCTGGAAAAATACTCTTGGAAAACAAAAAGATTGGCAATCATGTATCAAAGCCTCACCCAGATTATTTTGCTCCAGGGCTTACAGATAGCTTTGCAATATTAAACTCATTTTTGTTAACACAGTGCTTCAGTATTACACTGTTCTTCCTGGACATTACCTATTTAATGGTCCCTTCTGGGAAGGGACTGTCTTAGAATTTATGACGGAATCTGGTGGAATTACTACAGCAGGAGGAAAGGAGTTTGCTAAGATTTTTTCCCCATCCGTCTCTGATTTCTGAGAAATATTTACACCCCTGAAGGTAGAGGAACCTCCTGTTGCTCCCTTCTATTTATTGAAAGTAGATTACCAGGGCCACCCTAATGGCTCAGGAGAGAAACACAGGAACAGGAACACTCTTGCTCCCTGCAGCCAGTTGGGCTTGGATTGGATGTGAGAGCGTGAGGAATGAATTACACTTTCCTACAATTAAGTGGCTGGTGATTGAGCAATTCTGCAGCCTTAAATGCATAATTCCAGCTTTCCTCACTAGAAGAGGAGTTTACAACTGTAGGCAGTTGTTCTAAGCTGTTATGAGGAGACTTAACTTTGGAAGGGGAAAAGAAAGCACAAAGCAATTATTTTTCAGGATGGAAAGCTTTTGCCTAAGAACTCCCCCAGACCCTGAGAGCTCCAGGACTGTTGCCCCCTTCTTCAACATGCACAGACACCTTTTTTGGCACGTGTTTTGGCTGGAGTCAGTTGAACAAGCGAGAGTTAGAACTCATATTTCTGGGATCCCCTTGCCAGAAGCTAAGCTGTTAGGTAGTGTAACAACAGCAGCCCAGGCTTCCCACTTCACCCTGCCAGTGACCTTCGCACAGACTTGGACATACACCCTTCCTCAGAGTGAGGAGCAATTCCCTTTCATGCTGCTCAGTCCAGAAACTCATCTCAGCAAATACCACAAATCATGTCAGACCGAGCAGGACTATTAAAGCAGTGCTGCATAATGCGAATTGCTGTCCACAAGGGACTGGACCAAGAGACTGCCTAACCCACTTTGTTTAACTTTTTAGTTGAGCAATCCTGAAATGGGAAGCTGCATTGCTACTTTGGAAATTACAACTTTAATCTCATTTGAACCACACACTCCTCAGTTAAACTGCAGAAATAATTAAAGGACCAACTCCCAAATAAGACATTTTTCTACATTTCCTGAAAATATATTATTTCTGATGCTGTGAAATAAAAGCAGACTTATTGATTTACCCAGGTTAAAGTTCTTCCAGTAGCCCAAATAAACTCTAATGTCAGGCTAATTACATGCATTTCACCAGTTTTGCATATTCACATTGCTCAAAGCAACACCACACAACACCAGTGGAACACTGATCATTTCCAACTCAACCCTACAAACCATTTGCACATATTGCATGCATTGCTCACTCGTGCTGCACTGCCCACGGCAGGAATCCGTAGTGCTTCCCTGAACACAGATCAAGCTTCATTTCGCCTCCTTGGGCATGCTTGAATACAGCTCTGAGGTGCCAGCTTTTACTGGGTTATTTAAACAGCACCTAGAGTTTTTCTGGGCAGATAAGAAGACTAAACTGGGTGTGCAGTCAAACGAAGATACTGCTGTTTGTGCCAAAGATTCAGTTTATGGCAATACTTCATAGGAATTATTCCCCATAACAACTGAACTGTCATATCCTACAACTACATCCCAGGCAACCTCCCAGATGAATTCACTACGGCTGCTGTCTGATGTGCTCTACATACAAACGTCCAGAACTAACCAGATGTTCTCTATGTAAAACATTTGGTTTGAAACATGCAGTTCTTCTTTCCAAAAATCCATTACATTTGTTTAATGGACTCGCACAGTTCAACTAAAATTTCCTGGAGCAGACATTTGACTGCAACTCTACTCTACAAGCCCCATCTGCAAAAAGAAAAAATGAGAAAGAAAGAAGAGGCAAATGAGAATGCTTTACATGATTTATGCTGTCTTTATGATCAGCCAGTTCATAAAATACAAGCCCTGCTCTACAGACAATAACACAAATCGCTTTCAAGTGTATTGTTTAGTCCTTGCCTGTGTTAAGCAAATATTTCAATTGAAACAAAGGGCCAAACTCTACTCTTCAGCTTACAAGTGTTAACGCAACTGAGAGCAGCATTTTACCCACGTACATCACAGGGGATGCAATTTTTTTGTTTTATGCTCAGAGTTAGTGAGTAATGACATCCAATAATGATAACCAGTTACATTCACAGTTGCAGAGTTTTCCTTTCATCCAAGAAAGGCTTAAAAGAGGCTGAAGTACAGCATGAAATCCTTCTCCCTGATGAATTCCTTGTGAGCAACACATAACCCAAAATGAGGCCTATCACAGGTTCCCTTAAGACCACATTTACATAATAAAATACCAGACAGAATGGAGGAATACTTTGTTTTACTGAAACACTGGTAGAAATCTCTCAAACTGTATACAGAAAAAAAGCCCCGTAGTTGAAAAGGATAGCTAGTCTCTGGCCTGGATGCAAATGCACTGCACAGTCCAGCCTAAAGGCCCTCATTCCTCCCAGGCTGTGCTGACACAACTGAGTTGTATCAGGCGGTGCTCAACAGTGATGAGCTGTCTCCATGGCACAAGAGATGGTAAGCTTTTGAAAAATTGGCACCATCCCTTCAAAGTGTGACTAAAGCCACGGAAGAGGACATTCATTTTAAGAGCAATTTTTTCTGAGATGGTTATACCCACACAGGGAATGGCTCAGCACAGTGCTGGAGCTGTGGTCGACCTCAGCTCTCTCCCCGTGGCTCCACCGCAGACTTTCTAGATGAACCTCAAGGAAACCACTCACCCTCCTGGAAGCCCAAAGCATGGCTGTAACAACTGGCTCCTACAGGAATTAGAGCTTAAACCCACAGATCACCATTTAATTGGTTCACCTCATTTTGGTGCCCTGAAGAGAATAACAACATGACAAAGGAGTAGCATGAAGGATGCTATTGCTCATGTATAGTCCTGATTAGAAAGGGAAATTTTCCCAAGAGGGCAATGTGAACATCTTCAGTTACATCCCTACACAAGTCAGCTAAGCCTGCATTGCCTCCAGCAGGTATTTACAGGAATTTTCCAGGTTCCAGACCACATGGCATTAGAGCACATACCAGATGGGAAGGTTGCACTCTTCCCTCTTGCCCTCCCAAAGGCTGTTTTATTTCCTCTCAGCAAAACAACAGCCTGCGGCTCTGCCCTGCAGAATCCACTGCACCAGCTAGCTGTCCCCAGGCATCTCCAGGCACCTTTGCTCCTCCTTCCTGAGCTGCACTCTGCTGGGGAAGCCATAATGTTTGATTTGTGCAGTGGCAAAAATATGCAAATAAGTGACAGCTCTGAACACGTGCCTTGGAAGCTATTTCTTTAACAAATGCTTTGCTGTCTTCCCCTGTCAGACTTGTGTGCAAAGGACTTAACCTTTTTTTGTCAACAACAAAGCACCGTTTAACAAAAAGAAACATTTGCATAGCTACCACACAGCTCAAAAAAGTATTTCTACCCAACCCTTACTGCTATCTTTTGTGATTAAAAAAATATTCACATTCATTTTTAAAGTAACACTTGTACCTCAAATAAAAGCAGGTATCTTTCACCATCAGGCATTTAATAGAGATTAGAAATACCACCAGAGATCAAATGCCTTATTGTGTACAGGAAACATGATATGAAGGCTTTGAGATCTCCATCAACAGCAGGACCCCAGTTTTTCTGATCTACCAAGGAATAGCTAAATTTAGTCCCTGAACTTGGTATCTTTTCGCAGGAACAATAAATTATTCTTTTTTTAAGCCTAATATCCCTTAATTAGTGTCTTTATTCTGAGGCAGTGCTGCTCAAGGCCAAACATGCTGACTCAGCTCCACGGCCCAGCCAGACATTAGGATAATTGCACGTCCCTCAAGCCGCCAGACCTCAGAACAAAGACACTGCTCCAGCCTTAAGTCATCCCATATGCGGCTGCTGCGCCAGAGTCACCGAGGGGCTCTGGGATCACCAACGTTCCCCAGGAAGGCAACAGAGGAAGCACAGCCTGCCAACCACCGATGCTCTGTCACAAAGGCTGCCAGCCCCACACAAGGTGCAGCAGACCCTCCCATTCACCAGGCTGGTGTCTCAGGGACCCAGCAGCAAAGGCTCTCAGGCACCATGATGAGGGTGTAGTGAGGTGAAGTGGGAAATGCTGACAGTGAGAAGGCTCAGGAAGAATCCAGAAATTAACTGTTACATCAGGAGCATGCTAAGCTCAGCAATCTCAGCTGCAGTTTTCTTAATACTTGTAAAAAACAAGACCTACATTTATTTTGTGATGTTTGCATTGACTTAAACTGGTTGGGATGGTTTCACACACACCAGCCATGCCAACCCCTTGTCCCATAGCTGCTCTGTGACTGGGTTTGTTTCATGTGAAAGGAACCACCTATTAAAGTATTTTATTATCTCCTACTCCGGTAAGGATAGAGCCTGGAAAAGTCCATACTTGAGCAAGACCCAGGACTTCCATCGCATCATGGACCAATGGCAGCTTTAAGGACTGATGGCTCAAAAGCCATCAGAGCTAAGCAAATTCCATCTGTCTTTGGAGAGTTGGGGGATACAATGAGCTTATACCATGCAATAGTTTAACAGATTGAATTGAGAATTGGCCCTTGGTTTGTAGTTGAAAATACAGAAATTATGGAGCTCAAATAAGAGTACAAGAACCATGGAAGATCAAGGGATGGTTACAACCTTGCCCCTCCATGCTTTGCAGCACACAGCAAAGGTTACAGGAGGGCCTCCACGTCTACTGAACATCTGGCATTTTTGGTGTGGGTCCAGGATGTTTGAGGGGTATGGCCAGACACAGTACACACACGGAGTACCTCACCCAGCCTCTGAGTGTTCAAAGGTCTAGGATCCTCTAATTTATACAATGTACTATGCTGCCTGTGAAGACACGGTGATAAAATATATTCTGTTTAAAAGCAGATACTTCTCAAATCATAACTTTCAGATGCTTGAAGTCTTTCATGTGGGTAAGACAAATGAGAGCCATAGAGACTGATTTTGTAGCCAGAGAGTACAGGAAGCAACAGCAGGAGAACACTATTGAAAGCCTGGATACACTTATGGCTTTAATGAATTGGTCATCAAATATAACAACACACATATGCAGTTTTTACCTTGCTTTGTAGTTCACTCCCCGCCCTCCCCAGCTATTCCCCAATATATCTAGCAAAGTGGAAATTATTTTCAGTTTAGTTTATTAAATGGACACACATGGTACTCACATCTGCTGGAAGATATTTGAAGGAAACGCTGACAAATATCATTTACATATTTAGTTGGAGACCTTTTCATCTGAGACATTTCCTCTGACATATTAAATATCCTAAGTACATCGACCCATCAGTGCTAATGACAAGAGGTTTTTCTATAAAGTGTCTGGTACACACCTGGGCAATTTAGGGACAAATCCCGACTTATGGAGGAGGCAAGAAGGACGTGCTCTTGTAGGTCAGAAATTCCCATGTGAACGTGCAAACCATCAACACAAAACATCCGAGATGGGCACTGGCTGCAGCCTCCAGCCTGACCCAGGCCAGGAGATGCTGAGGCTCTGGCCAGCACACTGAGGAGCCACCACTGGCTTTTGCTATCCATGCTGTGAGCTCCTATCCCACCCCAAGCCTGGAGGCAAACCTGCACCTCTGGCTTCAGAAGATCATTCAGAGCTGTGGCAGAAAATATTGTTTGGTCCCGCTTTAGAGGAAAACATACAAGACAACAGTAAGTAGAACAGTGTCCTGCTGAGAGGAGCACGGTTGCACAGCAAGAGGAGGTTCTTCGACATCAGCATCCCAGTTGATGTAGACAGAGAGTACATTAGTGTGGTACAAGCGGGAGAGACTAGAACCAGGCAGATGCTCGTCTCAAACCGAAGGTCATCAACCAGCCTCTGAAAGCCTGGTACACAGCTTTTGGAAACGTGTTCCATAGGCTCTACATCTGGATAACCATGGCTGTACACATGTTCACCTGCTGGTGTTCAGGGCTGATACACCCAGAGCTGGTTTTCAACCCACACATGTGTCATTCTTCCTTGGAACTGTTGTGGCCACTGTGTGCCTCCTCCCAATTCCTCACTCCAGCAGAGACTCTAGTTACTTATTTACCAGACAAAACACAGACTAACTACAATTACAGTTCTGTGAAGAATAAACAATTGTTCACAAGAACTGAACATTCCACATGGTTTTATTCAACATGTATGACCCCGAACTACAATATATACAATAACTGTCTCCACAAGGCAAATCCACACTGTGGTTCCTAAAAAAATAATAATAATTTTTAGAACACATGCCATTAAAAATGCAGTACATTTTAGCAATATCTAATTAAAGACTTTGTACAAGCAATTTCCATTCTCTTGTGTTCTCTAGCACATGGTGCTATGAAACCATTTGTAAAAACACTTAGGCATTTTATAGTGTTTTAGCTGAAAGCTACATTAAAAACATTGGCTCAACTTCTGTTGTGAAATTTCACATGTAGAGGGAATCACACTACGTGTGCATCAAGCCATAATGTGTCCTGTTCATTAGTTTAACCTTCCCATATTAACCCCTCCAGAAAGGAATACACTGAGACACAGGAAGTTAATTATCTGCCCAAAATTGCTCAATCTAATGCAGGAGAAAAAAAAAAAATGCAAGTCTCTGGACATTTTTAATTTCTTCACCTGTAAGGAAGTGCAACATCATTGAAAGAATATCACTTGATCTTCATTCAAAGCTCAAAGAACATGCTGTTCTTTAATTTGGTACAAGATTTGACAAACTAATATATTCAGATGACCCCTTACTGGCTAGTCATTAATTCAGACTTTCATACCACTGACCCATACTTCCCTGACCAAATCTGCTTCTCCAACAGAAATTCTCAGTGCAGAAAACTAGTAATCTGTTCCAGTGCCTTTCTCCTGATGACCTTCATGCTATAATCAGTATTTTTCTGTCTGCACCCCTTAATGTTAAGGTTTTCTTTGGCATTTCAATTATCCAAGTGTTTATATGAAGACTGCAGCAATTTGATACAAGGTAGTAACTCCTATGGTAATAAAGCCCACAATATTCACTGTGAATTACATTAGAATAATTCCAGTGGGTTTCTTTCCATTTGCTGCTATTTTTTAAACCACAATTTCGGAACACATCTAATAGCTAAGGGTAGAACAAATAACAAATTAACAGCAAAACTATTTTCAAACCCATATACTCTTTCCAACTTCTGTTCATTCCAGATCTAGAATTTCCATGCATGCAGAGGATGACCCGAGTTTCACTAACACGCCTTCAGCACGGTGAAAACACTGCCCAGATTTGCTCACATTACGAGTCCCTAAAGGAACTCAGTTTAAACATCTTAAATAAATAAATAAATACACACATACATACATGCAAAAGATTCAGGTGATATGTTTTGTAAAAATCCCTTTTGCCCTGAAGAACCTCTGGGCCCATGTGAGTGCAGCAGGGCAGGAGAGGTGCCCGCAGCAGCCCCCACAGGCTGCACAGATCCTGCTGGCAGCCAGCTTGGGAGCAGGGAGCAGAGCTGCGCGCCCTGCGCGGGTCACCGCGCTGGCACACACAACAAAGCGGGAGGCAGCTGAGTACAAAAGGGCCAGGAATGGAGACCGATGCTGGATGTCACACAGGGACAAAAGCCTCGGGTAAAGAGAGAGGCCAGGAGGCAGGACAGGCTGAGCTCTGCAAGAGGAGAGTGTCATCCACAGGATTCTGATGTTATATAGTCTACATGTCCGGATGAATCAGGGACCTGGCTGTGCACTCAAAACTACTTGAAATTTTCGGTGATTTTGGCTTGAATTGCCAAGTTTTTTCACTTCTTGTGTATAAAATGGGGTAGTAATACAAGCTATTGTTACTATAATTGAAGTGTATTATCAGAGCTGTGGAAGCCACATTCATGAATCAGGAGCCTGCTAAGCAAAGTACTGTACAGATGCTTCACATCACAGCAGCATTGTGTAGATACTTATCCCTGTGTCTGCTACAAAGGAAGATGTCTTAGTAAGAGCAACAAAGAACTTCAAAAGAAATAAACAGATTCTGTGTCGTATTTGGACATTATCCTGCAGAAGATGCACACCAAGCAATCAAGATAAAAATCAATATGAAGCAGTGACTGAAGTGCTAACTGAAGAAATTCTCAAGGGAAAAAATGGAAATATATTATTAAAGATTAAAAACAAAATCACATGCATCAGAGGGATACTGACATTTTCTGTGATATTGACAGCGCAGGTGAGAGAACAAATGTTTCACCTGGCTTTCACTGCCCTCAGCAACCCACAAGTACACTATTATCCTGTTATAAGGAACTCTTAAAAACCACACTCCAAACAAATGGTTGCGTGGCCAACAAGGCCTTAATTACTGACATGACAGAGCTATCATTGTTGATGTTCATGTTTTGGTTTTGTCGTGATATGGAGAAATACAATCAGCAAAGCAAAAGTCTTCCTTTCATGTCATCTGTTGCTGTTCCAGGTTTCAAAAACCCTGCTTGACCCTTCAAATACATCAAGAAGCAGACCTGTTTCAAAGCAAAGATTTGCACTGCAGTTGTAAATAAAAAAAATCAGTTGCTTTAAAGTTTGAGGGTTTTTTACAAGATTTTGATCCAGAAACAAATTTCATTTGGCAATATCCTTCTACCTGCACTTATTATGCAAAAGAGATAAATAACACACGGCAGCCACCACACATAACATGCCTGTCCAAATATGCACCACGTGCCTGTTCTTCATGTTGGGCTGCTGCTTGTCATCAATTCCCAAAATAATTAACTTTCTGGAGGAACAGCTGGAGGAGAATAGTGCTTCCTCCACCTGCTGGTGAGGAGGAAGAAAAGATGTTGTGGCTCAGGCAGAAAGAAGGAAATGAAGGAGGAGGGGAGGCAGGCTCCTGCAGCTACTCCTCATTGCCTCCCAAGTGCAGCCTAGGGAGAGAAAGGGAGACAAACTTCCTGGGTTTTGCAAACAGCAAACAGAAAACGCCTATCTGTAATCTGAATTTGCATTCTAATGAGTATTTACTCCAGTGGAATAATTTACTCAAAGAAGAATCCAGCAGCATTTACCACCTTCGTGCACCGTGCACAGAACCAGCCAGAGGTGTTCAATACACACCTTAAATAAGGCTGAAATAAACATAACTGTGGATTTCTTGGCTAGCAAACGTTGAATATATAACAGAAACAAAAGTTCCATTCTTTGATTTAACATGTGCAAGATGACAAGTGGAAAAAACACCCATAGAAACATCAACATGAGTGTTACTTCACAGGCTTGAGATACCATCTCTTCATCCTTACACTTGCTAACAGGTGCCTTAATTTAAAATGTTGTAAGTTAGAACTGTGTATACTGAGACAGCACTAATGAAGAAACCTTCCTGGCAAAATTAGGCACCTCATACATCATATACCAGGCAATATTTTAACTGCTCCACGCAGCATGCAATACTGTCTGTAGTCACTGTGGTAACTAATGCACAAATTAATCTAAGTTGTTTCCAATAACAAACCAAATGTATCATACAATCTACCCCGGAGCTTTATGGCAGGAAACTTCATGATCACATTCCACTGTGTTATAAGGAAAGACAATAAAGTTAAGAGGAATAACAATTTGAATAAACCTGTAACCTGCTAACACGTGCCAAATACTACTTTCATTAAAGTCAACAGAAATCCTGCTATTGATTTCCAATGGCATAGGATTAAAGCACATCTGTACTTTGCATTGAACTATCTTCTCACCTTGGTTTTACTTTATTTACCCAAACCACCCAGTTTATTTAATTTCTAAGCTCTGTTTATACAGATGACAACAAATCCAAAGCTTGTGCTTCACATTAAAAGCCTGGCTAATCACGCAAACCCCTTCATTAAATTCCATGCAGCTAAAGAAATTCTTGACAGACAAGAGAGGTGGAAAGGCTAAAGAGGAGAATTGCTTGAACAACACTGATGAATGGGAACATAAGGTCCAGCTTTGCAATCTGTTACCATACAGCTTCAAATACCTGCTTACCACTGAGTAAAGAAAGTGATGATCAGCTAAACCAGTAACAGAATAGGAAGCAAACAGCCTGGACGAGGGCACCTTAGGACTCATGCTGCCAGTTGCAATAGGATGGGCATTGGACATAGTGCAACTAGCAGTGCCGGCCACATCCCCTGCTCTGTGCATCCCCTGCTGGACACGGCAGTATCTGGTCTAACCTGCTCATGGATAATGCAAATACTGCCACAAATAAGAACTGAGAAGAGGAAAGGGAAGAGAAAGAGGGGTGGAAAAAACAAAGAAAAGCTGCCCCTCTCAGTCATCTCCCGTCACTTCTCTTATCTCACCCATGGAAAGGAATCAGTGTTCAATGTAACAGCCAGACAAGGGAACTGTCAGGAAACAAGAAGCGTTTTCCATTCACTGAGATCTGGCTGGATTCCTGACAACTAGCTTTTATTCTGCAAGCAGACAAACTGTGGATATTTTACATACACTCACAGATGTTACAGTTCAAATAGACACGTTACACCAGAGCTCGCCTGCAGACTAGTTAATAATTACGAAGTGCCACACGCCAAGGCTTGCATTACTCCAGTAAAAAACTCACACCCTGGTAAGGACTTGTTCAGCTTCTACATACTAGCTGATACAGCGAATGTTACATTTTTATTGCATTTAAGATTGCATAGGTATTCTGATTTTCACTCTCTCCATTTCAGGATGGCATTAGCCATATAAATTCAGTTCAGACCATAACATCGAAGTAACCTTTAACCGTGCAGCTGAAGAGCTTGACAGTTGGCAAAATATGGGAAGACCTAGTGTGTTCTTAAGTTAGATGAGACACACATCTAGCTACTCTACATCCATTCCTCTGTGAGAGCTCTTTCCAAAGCCAAATCTCATGGTACATTACTGCCGCCCTTTTTTCATTAATTTCTCAACTCCTTGAAAAGAGATGTTTTCTTATTTGCTTATTTACTACATTTTATAATGCAACTCAAAATTAATCTACTTTAAAAATAATAGTTAGCATACAATATAGCCTGAAGCTTTTGTTAGCCTGAAGTTGTAAAACAGCCAAGACAGCAAACTTTAAAAATCATGGACTTAGAGTGAGCATGTGCAGAGATGTCCATCTCTGGTTTCTCTTTAGCTAGCCTCCAAATGAGCTAATAAACTGAAAGCATATATGATATGACTCTACAACTTGGCTGGAACTCTCATTTTCACTGTCGACTCAAAGATATTCAGTTGCTAAGTAAGTGTTCCTTATTAAAGTCATAGCATCTGAAATTTCATTTTCTGTTTTACAGATCCTTCTGCCTCTGGGTGCATGTTGAGCTCCCCAGCAACCGAAAGGGAAAGGTAAATGTAACGTCACAGGGGAAATGCCTTGCTTTTAGATGAAGTCTAGTGAAAACTCATATAGTGCACTTCAGGACAAAGACCTCTGTAGAAAACCCCCTATTTCTTTCACACAACAATGCCTGCCTCTCATTCGCCTGCCCTCTGTGGATAGCTACGTATTTCTGGGAAGGAAAAATGACAATAATTCTGACTAACGTGTAGATTGCTTCAACTGCATTTCTGTGCCCAGCTGGAGCGCTGCACCAGTGAGGAAATGCTGAAGCTGAGTTATTGCTGGACAATCCCCGGGCTGCTTGAAGTCTCAAGCCAGCCGGCACCGCTGAGCACTGAAATGGATCATAAAAACCAACGGGGTGGGCTGCAGTCCCTGCAATTTTTTTAGGTGTCAGCAAAGTTCAGCTTACAAAAGTATGAGCGAATCACAGCATTTTTAACCAGAGAAGCAAACCTTTTCCCTTCTGACAGTACTTTGTGAGTGGTGCTGGTTAGCCAGGGGATGTGACAGGTTTCTCCAAAACATGAATTTCCACTGGGGAAAAAACTAGTCACAGTGGACGTGCAAGTAAAAAAAAAAAAAAAAAAAAAAAAAAACCCAGAAAAAAAACAATGTCACCCTAATTTTCCAATAATAACACATCCCTTCAAAATGTACCAGTGTGCTACTACAGTACCTCCACCACTCCTCTGAGATGAAAGCCTCTCTGCAGGGTGGGCACTCTGAACAAAGCCGCGGATCGCAGGCACGGGTGGGATGCTGAGCGGGTCTGCGCCTCGGCACCACCCGCCAGCCCCGCACACAGACGGGGCTCCTAAGGGGATGCACCCGGCCGGCTCTGTTCCGAAATCGGCGTTGGAATATGATCTTATATATACCTGCATATATAAGAGTAAATAGAAGAGAAAGAGGCAGGGAGAAGCCGCTCTGTTGCCTTACCACTCTGCCAGAGAACCTCTCGATGGCCCGCTTGACTTTGCCATAGGTGCCTTTGCCCAAGGTCTCCTGCAGCTCGTAGCGATGCTTCAGGTTGTGCTTGTGGTGATGCCGTTTCACCCCCTGCTGCTTCCGAGCCGCCGTTACCTCCGGGGACGGAGCCACCCGGACCGGCTCTTCCATGGCCGCCGCCGCCTCGCCGCCGCCGCCGGGCGGGCCGGGGCCGCAGGAGGAGCAGCGGGGCTGCGCGGGGCTGGGGCTGCTGCTGCCGCGGGCGGCCGCCTCGGCGCCCTCCATGCCCGGCGGCGGCGGGCACGGTGTGAGCGCCCCGCCGGCCTCGCCGCCTCTGCCTCGGCCCCGCGCCCGCGCCGGCACCACGGGGCGCGGCGGGCGGGGCGGGCCGGGGGGCGGCGGCGGCGCCCCCGCTCCCCGCCCCTTCCCCGGCGGCGGCACCGGCGTGGGGCGGCCCCTCCGCCCGGCCCGCCCCGCCCGAGAGCCGCGGCCGGGGCGGCGGCTGCGGGGGTCGCTGCGTGGGGCGCTCCTTTGTGCGCCGGGGGTACGGGGCTCCGCGGAGGCTCTCCCGGGCCGCGCCTCAGCGGGGCCGAGCCCGGCGCCGCCGCGGCCCCGGGCTGAGCCCCTGGGCCCCGCGGGGCCGGGACCGCGGCTCCGCCTCGCCTCAGCCCGGCCCCGCGGGTCTGGCGTGTGCACCTGCAGGGACGGCGGGCAGGGGCTCGAGAGAGCATGCACCAAATATAGGTCTGGAAAGTTTTTCCATAAAACGTCTGATTTTCCCCATTCACCAAGCGGGCGAGGGTTTCCTGTAGGGTTTCCATGTTGGTGGAGCTGGCAGGAAAACTCAGGCACACCCAGGTGCCGCCTGTCCTTGGCATGGGCAGGCACTGTTTGTTTGCTCCACAAGGTTTTTGCCGGTGAGAAACCTTCCCGAGCCCAGTCCTGCTGTGGTTGACTTGCAAATTTGCGCCAAGAGCTGAGGAGCACCGTGTCTGCTTTGGGGAGCTTTGAAATACAAAGAAATGCGTCGGTTTTGTGCTTTCTCCATTTTAAAGTAAGGCTGATTTCTTTCACGAAGACAGCTTGAAAACTTAAACCAACACAGACAGAGAAATTTTGCCAAGGTTAAGACGAATCAGATGTTCCCTTTAGAAAAGAAGCCATCCCCAAGTGCATGGCCAGAGAAGGCAGATGGTCGCTTGTAGCAGAAAACGGGAAATTTGCATGGGGTGGAATTATTCTGGCATTCTCCACTCTGGCCAGTTTTCTGGACCAACACAAAGGCTTTCAAGTGAGAGCCCTGGTTCAGTGTCTCTTCCCCACTGACTGTTCTTAAGGTGCAGATTACAGCTGGGGTTGTCTGCTCTGCAAAGGTAACACACAGGCCTTTTGAAATCTTGAGTTCCACTTTGTGGTTAAAGCAATATCAAGGCACAGAATTTCGGGAGCCAATAGCCCCATCCCTCTGGTTTGCTGGGGGAGTGTTAGCACAGAAGCTGATCCATGTGCTCAGCCAGTTTTACTGGCTGGCTCCTGCAAAGGCTCAGGTCTGTCAAAGGCAACTAACCCTGGAGTATCAAGGTGATGGGGTGACACCCAGGCACCAGCTTTGGTGAGGATTCTTGTTTAGTTCCTCTAACTCACTGGGCCTGTGTGTAAAGCTGGGTTTCTGCAAGGTTTCTTCCTGAGACTATGAACACTCTGCCCCGAGTTTGGAGCCTTAGCTTCTCTGACTTGAACATGAAAACAGAAGCTTCTCTGTAATTACATCACTACACCTTCATTTTAGGATCAGCAAAAGTGTCAAGTTGGCTCAAGGCAAGTCTGCCTAGGGCAGTACCCTGTTCTTGGCAGGAGCAAGCGCCATGCCACAAGGGTTGAAAAAGACAGAAAGAATCCTGCAGCATTCAGAAGAAACCTATCCTATGCTGGCTTTTTGATCTTTGGAAGCTCAATATTGATCAAAGTCTGGGAGCATGGAATTTAACATCTCTTTCACAGAATGCACCAGAAAGTTTTCCTCCTGTAGCCTGTAGCCTCTTCCTTTATCTTCAATGTGGAAAGGACAAAAATTCTGTGGCCTTCTCTTTGTAAGAAGCAAGATGACATTTGTAGCTTGGAGGTTATTGTTGTTTCAATGCTCTGAAGTGCTGTTGCATTCCCCCCAGCTGGCACAAAATGAAGCAGTGCCTGGGCTACCTGGACATGGACAGAGGGACATCTGCTGCTTCCATGCCCCCAGTTTGAAACCCACTTACACAGCTCTTCTCACATTTGAGGGGATGCCTCAAGAGACATCCATGTGTAGGAATGCAGGACAGACCTGCTGCAAGTAAGGACTGGCACAGGGCTGGGAATGCAGCAGCAGCAAGAGGCAGGAGGGACCTAGGAGAGGGGCTGGCAGCACAGGGAACATGAAGGGTGTCCTTGACTGCCAGGAGAAGTGAAAGATTGTCCTGGCATGTGTTCACCTCTGCACAACTTCACTTAAGTAGATTAAATCAGAGTCCCGGTCTTGCTGAGTGCCAGGGGTGCAGCAGTCTGTCAAGATGACAGTGAGGACTGGCTGGTGGTTTTGCATATCCAGTGCAAGCCCTAGTGCCACCAAAGAGGGGAGCAGCCCGGATCCTGCTCTGACCTGTGCCAGCTGCCGGTGCTGCAGGAGCAGCTCAGGACTGGCTGGGGCCCCCCAGAGGCAGCAGGGAAGTGTCCAGCTATGTCAGTCAGTCTGGAAGCTCCCTTCAGGCTGAAACTCACTATAGCCTGTATTCAGGCCCGTTATACCTCCTGAATAGCAGGAAAGCGTGAATGCCCATGGGGAAAAGAGGTTTCATTGTGTTGTACTCATAAGCATTGTTAATATCCCCAAGAGTGGTCCCTTCTAGCTGCTTGGAAGCATACATCATCATTTTCATGGAAATCATCAGTTTCAAGGAAATATGCCATAAATCATTGCTATATATTAGATTGTGATTGGAGAGACAGACAGCCTAATAAATTACCAAAACCTCCAAAATTAAAACTAATGATTTTGTAATGTAATAAGCACAGGTACTATGTAGCATGAGAAATACCACTTTTCCTTTTAAATTTCTATGATCTTAAATGTGAAGCCAGTGGGCATTGAGCAAATCAGATATGTAAATTGAAACTAGACAAAATAAACTTTCTGTGCTCATGTGTAATAGCAATGATAATTGAAAATAATGATAAATATATTTGATAAGTATACTTCTATATATACATATGTTTGAATGTATCACCAACATACAGAGATGTTTCCTTTTGATTTTTAGCAAGTCCATGTGAAACATTTAGTGTTTCATTGTTTCTGAGATAAACATTTGGTAAGAATTTCAATTCTTTGAGTTTATAGACACCACTAGGGAATTCTTCATTTCTGTCAGTATTATTTTACATAACTGCTTTTCCTTATCCACAAAGAGGAATTATCCTCCTATTGAAACCATGAGACTTCTGCTAGCCAACTTCAAAGGAAATAGGACTAAGCTCTAATTTGGAAAACAATATTGGAGGATATGTTGTACCAAATCTAAACTATACAGATTATCACAATAACAAAAAGCCATTGATTTCAGCAGGCTTACCTTCCTGAAGTAATGTGAGTTGGAAAATGATCTTAAAAGATTGCAACATGCGAGCAGTAAAAAATCATTATAAAATTTAGTGCATTTTTAGGATTAATTTTACCATGAACTTTCAAAACAGCACAACTTATTTTCTATCTGGCATAAAGACACTCAGGATAAAAAATACCATTCGCTTAATATAACTCAGTCAAATATTTCGGGCTCCTCAAAAAATTGACAGCTTCTATAATGAGAAATGAGTTTCATAGAGCTGATGTTAATTCATTCCATGTATTGAGCTAAATAAAACCAAAACAAAACAGGATTTCAAAGATACTTGCTAAAATACTTAATTTACCAACTGAGGCCAGGTACTGTCTGTGCAAGGATTGTGCATATGGCAACTTAACTTGGTGAGATGGTCTCATCTGTACTCAGACCTTTTGCTCTTCAGCATTTTCCGGTGTTTGTGAATTGTTTAACAGTGTTGTTGCCACCCTTACACAGATTGGCTTCCAGTTGAATATGTTCCTTGACTGTTCTCCACAGTGTAAGATAGAGGAAAGAGAAGAAATGAGTACTAAAGGGATTCCTGGATGCAATGGACATGTGTTCTAGGATACTAATATGCTGCTCCCTTAGGTTGCAGTCCTCTCTGCTGAGCTCTATAATCTGTACATGGAGAAAAACATAACCATAGTTAAGCCAATTGAGTTCCTTTGACTGCTCATGTTTGATGATCAAGCTCAATGTGGGTGTATGCATTTGCTGGACCAAGCTTCAGTGTTCAGCACTGTCCAGACTGCAAATCTAAAGATGACATGACTTTCAAATCATTGGAACATACTGGCAGGCAAAACTGGAGGACATTCTCTCAATGGAACTGTCTCTTCTGTGTTAAGTACCTGCTGAGAGACAGCTTTTTGTCTGATGCAGTGAAAGCATGTTAATGTGTTCCACTAAAGGATAGGGATTATCCTTTAGAAAGCAGTGCTGGCAGAGACAGCTGGCATCCATCTGGTTGCTGTGGCAGATATCTGTATATTATCTACCCTGGCAGATCACATCCAATCCTTGTAATTGCATGCTTTATGAAAATTGCAGGAATCAAAAAGTTCAGGATTAAGACTGTAATGCTGATTTTCTCTATAGTGAGCCATATAAAAAAACTTTGCATTGACAAGTAATGGTCTTTTGAGGTGTATCTTGTTTGCATACAGAGATGTCAGTTCACTATTAAAACAATACTTCAGTCAAGTAATGGTCACTGGCAGGGCCCACATTCAGAAGTTATAACATCCATCTAAATTCATGTGTCTCATCTTGTTCTTTGATTGGTGCTAGGACTCTTGCGATGTCCATGCAGTAGGAAGAATAAAGACTTAAGTGAAATTA